CTGCCCTCAGCAGTCCTTTGCTACTCCCAGAGAGCCTTAAGGAAGGCTTAAATGTTCCCATAACAAAAACTACTTGCTTTTTGAATGGAGCAAACCCAGCAAGAGCACCGAAGCTGCACACCAGGCAGGTACTTTCCCCCTCTTTCAGCAGGTTAAAGGACAGTCAGAGGTATTCCCAGAAGAGCAGGACCAATTCCCACCTATCAGAGCCCAGAGGAACATCGATTTTGAGAAACAGGGAAGATGCTGGACCTCTCCATGGCTGGCAAATGCAATTCCCCAGAATTAGTGTGGAAAATGGTGAAAGCTGCCTCTAAGAAAATCTGCTCCTAAGCAGTGTGACAGCACTGACTGCAGAGACTGACATTTGAAAAGCAAGTCCGAAGACTAACAGGGATTATCAACCACCCACACACAGCTGACTGATAAGCAAATGCAAAATTCATGTCTTCTTCTTAAAAGATCAATACTTCTTAAAAGATCAATACCCTCTTGCTAATATTAACATGCAGAGCCCATTTAAAAGAAAAAGAATGTCAGAAGCAGAGGCTGAACAAGCAACTGCAGGCTCTTCATGTTGGAGGACAAAATGTTGCCTTCAAAAAATCAGACCAAGTATAGCTCAGCTGAGTTCAGCTACCCTCTAACACAGCCCCTCTCACACCTGCAATAACATGTCCAGAACAGCCTGCCAACATCATGAATCATCACAAAGAAAATAAACAGTTATTCCAGAAACTTTCTCTCCTTTTATGAGCTGCAAATGCACCTACAGCTCCACACTGAGGTGCAGCAGAGGGCAAACGTGGGACCAGGAGAATTACCCCAACCAAATGTTCCATGGACAGTCTTAAACTGGCCAAGAAAAGGTAATTTTCCACTTTTACCTTTTGCTGCCTTTGGAGAGAGACACACAATGAACCATCTTTTGCATAATGTAAACCATTCAAAGAGGTGTTACACTGATCTTCTGGCTCCTCTCAAACCCCAGCAGCAAGGCTTCCTTGAAAACTTAATACAATACTGGAAATCTCACCATCTAACAAGCCTCCCACAAGCTTGGAGGTAAGACTCCCCAGTAAGGGATCTCCTCTGACCCCAGCCTTCCATAGGAGCCTGTGTTCATACAAAGTGCCAAACCAATACACAGACAAACATCACATCTGTGGCTCCTTTCTCCAGTGCTGACCTGTGGGCACAACAGTTTCAATTCAGGACTTGTAGGCATCTGTGGAGTTATGTCAGGAGCATATGTGGCCCTGGACAAACTCTCACCTAAATACACAAAGGCCAAACTCCACCAAGATAAGTTTGCTTAGACCAAGACTGCTTTGGACACCCTTGTGTTCCTGCAAGAGTTCCTGCTGCTCATTAGCTACCCCAGGGCTAATTTAATATGTTCACACTTTCCACTGGGTTTCATCCCTGCAAGGACTGCAGGAGGGAAGAGACAGAAAGCTTTGCAAAGGATCCTTTGGCATCTGATCCAATCCTATCCATGTGTGCAACAACCACACTGAGAACTGCCTCTCTTCCCTTGCTCAAAGCATCTATCTGGACAGAAATATAACATTGCTGATTCCTTGTGGTAAAATTATTTTCACTGGAGCAATGACAACATCCACCAGCTTTTCTCAGCCTGCCATGTAAATCTGCCAGGGGCTTGTGTAATATCCTGTGCAGAAACTGAGCATGGTGAAAACACCCTTGCATCATGTAGCAAGCACTGAGCTCACACTTGTTGACACTCCCAGCCAAACACATCCCCCTGGTCACTGGATCTGTGTTTGTCCAGACCTCAGACTGGTAAAGCCTTTGGTTCCAGTCCTGGGTTTAAGCAGGTAGAGGGGAAAGGGCAGAGCTTAACCTTCAAACAACAGATCTCAGAAAAGCATTGCTATTTGTATCATTATATCCACCACAAACAACAGATCTCAGAAAAGCATTGCTATTATCACTATGAAATATCACTATGGTTAGTATGTTTCAAACCACCCCAGCTCTAGGAACCATGCAAATGAGGGACACTCCGTTTCATTTAACAAAAAAAGCTCATTTCCAGCCTTCATCTTAAAATAGTATCAGAAGGGCCTTTGTATGTCCACCCCCAGACCCAAGGCACACCAGCTAAACTCCATTATTACTGGGGGATGTTAGTCCAGCTGATCTTTAAACACCAACACTGTGGTTCCACAGATGGCTCAGAACTTCTGGCACTTCACTGTACCAACCAACCACTCAGAGGGAAAGGAAAAGCTTAAATGACAACTTTTCTCATGCACCATGAAGTATTCAAGTAGCACAAAGCAAGGAAAAATAATTATTTTTGGGGGTATAAAACATGATTTTGAGGTCAGCTTCATGATTGCTGGGATCCCAAGTGGTGCTTTTAGAAGACAGGCTTAAAAATCCTTCACTCAAAACCCCAGGTACTCATCACACCAACAAAACCTGCCTTCTCCCTTGGACCCACAGGATCCCTCATCTCCTCTTCATCCACCAGAAGTTCCCTCTTTATCCCAGAGATGGACCTGCAGCATTTCTTGAGGTTGCCCACAATCTTCAGGGGTTTTTTCTCTCCTGCTTCAAACCAGAGCCAAAGCTCCTGAGAAGCACCTCAGGACAGACCCAGGGTTATGAAACTTCTGGATATGATTCCCAGAATAAAGTCACCTTCAGTTGAAACCAGAGGCTTCCCTCTGTCCCACCTTATCAGGGAGCCTCTGGGTCCCCAGCCTTCCCACCACCCAGCTGGACTGGAGGAACAAATGGGGCCCAGCCTGTGTTAGAGAATCACCTGAATAATAAGTAACTCAAACAACATCTGCAGGATTTTAAACAAGAATAAAATACCACTTCCCACAAGAGGTTCTAGAAATAGAGAGCAGAGGATAGAGGTGTCCCTCAAGACCAAGCCAATTAATGTTCTGATAAAATCTGGCCTTTTTACCAGAACTCCACCGCTTGCTTTTTACCAGAAACATTCCTAGAGATTTCTTTCCATTTCACTTCCTAATTAGCTTGTCCAGATCTTTCCTCTGCTTCTATAAGATTTTTAAGAACAGGCTCAAGTTCAGATTTTTCTCCTCCCTTGCACCTCTGAGGTCTCTCACACTTAGCAGAAGGCAGCACAGCACTGATCAAAGCTGTGTCCTATGAAGACCTGGATCTGAAGGAGATGAGATACTGGGAGATACTGGAAGCTGCTTCTGCTCTGCCCACACTCTGCCCAGTCTATTCCGCTCTGCACCCTCTTGCAACTCAGCCTGCCTCTTCCTAGCTGCCTGGTAAAGAGCTAAAGATTATTAAAATTTCTAATTATTCCCTCTTTTGTGACCCCCAACAACAGAGGTATCAGTGACAAGCTTAACCTTTTCATTTTATTTTACTAAATGCTGGTAACTGGCTTATTCTACTGAACTCTCCTGCAGCACTTTTGTACCTAAAGGTGTAAATGGACCCTGCATATTCACCTCTTCCAAATTAACAGCATTTGCATTTGGAGAAGGAGAGCACCCTTAATAACATGAACAGCCTGGATTCAGCAGGGCTCTTCAGTTCTTTGCTGTATTTACCTTTGTGTGATTAAGCACCTAATTACACAGTCGGTACTAATAGCCAAGGGATGAAAGTCAGCGCTTTTAAAAGGAGTTCTGCTCAGGACACCCACCTAGAGGAGGTCTGAGCTTTGACTTCACACCTCATTTCCACAAAGGCTGCTTTGCTAACAGGGAGACAGATGGGCTGCGGGCTGTCAGAGGACCCTCAGAATCAGCCTTTGTGCAGTTCCCACTTGGCTGCAGAGACAGGCAAGACACAGTTTTCCACGTGGCGGTAACACCAGGTGACTGCAAACATCAATCTTGGGGATCACTTTTTAGCAGGGCAAAGCCTGTTGGCTTGGGAGGAGACCAAGCACCATCACCTTTCCCAGGTAACCAATGGTGGTAACCATTTTCTCTAGGAGCAAGAAGTCTCCACTTGCTCAGGAACAAAGTTTGGCATCCAAGGAGCTAAAAACCTCAACAGACCAAACATGGACAAAGCCAAAGGAAGGAGAGGGCTAACAGGCATTCTGTAGTGTCTGAAATGGGTACAGAAAAGCCCAGAAAATACCACACATTAGGTCTATTTCTACTGATCTACCCCCAGGTTACCACCTTACAATAAACTTTAAGGGTGTGGGAAGAGGGAAGCCATCAGCTCTCAGCAGAGCACCCACCTCCCCAAGCACCACCACACCAGGGTCCCACTGGTTGGTGCTGCAGGAGTTGGAGCAAACACTTCCCTGGAAAGCTGTGGGTGTGAGTGGTTGTTTTCCAGGAAACACCAGTTCATGTGTAAGAGGCAAATCTACTCTGAAAAGGAGCATGGAAAATTGGCACTTTGATCCCTCCCAGACACATTTCTCAGGTGTATTTAGCCTTGTTATTTGCAGGTTTGGACAACAACAAGCAACCCTGTATTCTGCTGCCACAGGAGACATCTGATTCAACTGCTGACCCCTCCTTTCCCCAAGACAAGGCACGACAATCCTTTTTTAGGCTAAAGACCATCTGAATTTTTGTAATAAAACCATGTTGAAATGAAAATAAAATCCCATGGAAAACCAAACACCATCTCACACCACTCTTCCCCCTTGACTTGAAAAAGAAGCAGCAAGTAACAGGTAGTGCTGATCCATGTGCTCCCCCCCCACTACTTGCTCACCCACACCTACAGGAGATGAGTACCCAACCCACAAACAAACCCACTCATTTTGAGATCCTCAGGACCAGCACTGACAAGAAAGCAGCTACTAAGTTTTCACCCTTCCATTCTCCCCCAAATTTGCCCTCTTTGCCTTTCTGAAAAGTCACTGAGCCTAAAACCCTGAAAACAAGTCACATTTCAGGCTTTGCCTAAAAATCTAACACAGGAAAGTTAGTAGCACAGAAAAGCTTGTGGCTTGTTCAGGTAACCCTTGGGACAGCATAGGCCAAGCAGAGCAAGGTCCTTACCTGCCAGGGCCTGGTTCACCTTGCTGGGCTTGGGCATCTTGACTGGGAGGTTCAGAGCACTGGAGAAAGAAAAGAACAGTGACAAGAAGTTGAAGAGCTCAAATCAACTGCTACCAAACCAGAAACACCTCAGCTACAATCTACTCCCTCCTGAGGGCCAGGGCCCTAAATGTATTAACAGGAGTTGATGGCCCAGATGAGCCCCACCTGGGATCCCCACCCAGAAACCCTTTGCCCACTAGTCCAGAAGCTCCACTTAAGGAGCCCTGGCCTTGCCAGAGCTGTCTTGTAGGTCTTTTTATCTCCAAGGACTTTGTGCTCTGTTGTAGGTAGCTGGCTCTAACCCCATCTCCTCCTGGCTGGGTGCTGGGTCTGACCCACCCACCCCTCTTGCTGAGGCCTGTTGGTGGACCCTGTTGTCAACACCTTGCCCTGATCCTGTAGTGTAACCCTGCTCCCAAAAATCTGAGAGATGTTGGACCTCCCCTCCTTCTCTCCTCTAACTGAGCAGCCAAGGAGGCAACACGGTGCCTGAGCCATCCCTCCACTCTGCATGTGACTGATACTGAAGAGTTTGTGCTTTCACTTCCCCATGGAAGGTAAAAATATGAGAGAGCATCAAGCTGAACCTTCTGCTCTGCCAGGAAAGCAGATGAGCTGTGGGGGACCCCAGGGTCTTTACACCTGAGGTTGAAGAAAGCAAAACCAGAGCTGCTCTGGAAAGGGGAAAACACTTCAGGGAGATGGCCAGAGAAACTCTCCACTCTCCTGCACTGAAAGGCTTGAGTCCAAGTCACCCAGGAGCTAGAGCTCTCAAGAAGTGGGAAGAGCCCTTGAGATCTGCAGAGGTAAATAGATAAGTAATTGATGCATTTGCAATTGAGTTTTGGAAGCTGTGAGGGCACTGCAGATAAGACTACATCAGCCTGGTGAGCGGCTGATCAGCTGCAAGGCAAAGGGTGTCAGCTCTGACAGCTGGAGGCTTTGAGCCAACTGATGTGATGATGGAGAAACCAAACACTTCTTCTTTCACGTGGGCAAACCACATGCATCTCCAGTCAGCAGCACCTCGGCTAACAAGGTGGTGGGACATGGGCTGGGTCACATCCGTTGGGCACCATGTCAGTGTCCCAGCAGGGCTGCCACGTGCTGGGACTTCCTCTACATCTGCTGGTGACATCAAAGGAAAGCCACACTGCTTTGAGGTACCTCTGCCACCACACTCACTGTACATTTGCAACCACAGCATGTGGAAGTGTCGCAATGCCAAAGATGGTGCAGGAACGTTACCCGCAGCCTGCCCGGGGTCTGAAGAGGGTTGTTTTTGGAGGTGGAAGGGGAAGAGGTGACAAGGCTGTGCCTCAATTCTGAGAGCAAGCTCATCAGCAGCACCAACACACATTTAGTCCATATTTCAGCCCCCAGCTGCTCCAGTATCTCCACACCAGCCCTGGCTTTCTGGGAGAGAGCTGAGGCAGGTTGGTGGGGCCATTGGTCAGGGGGATATGGAAGAGCTTCAGTGCAAGCAGAGAGATGAGTGGGAGCCACCAAACCTCTGCTGCCCACAGACCAGATTTCTAACCAGTCAGTGCCTTTGGCTCCCAGCCAGACATTCAGGCTGGGCTTGCAACACCTGAAAGGCAATGCCTGGATTCCTGAACATTTCCTGGTATCAATTCCTCCTCCTGGGTCTAATTTTGGTGTTCCATTCCCTGCAGCTCCTGCTCTCCTGCTGCTCTGCATGCTGGAGGGGACTGACTGCAACAGGGGTCACCAGGTTGTGAAGAAAAGGATGCAAATTAAGTAAGTTGCTGTCCTCAAAGATGCAGCAAGAAGATCCTGGTAAGACTTCCCATCTCTGGTTCCCAGGCAATTTGCTACGGGGGCAGATTGATACTTCAGGATGAGAAAACCACTCACTGCTCCAGAATTTCAAGATGTTGCAACACCAGAAAGACAGCAAAGCATGAGGACATGTGGCTTCTGTGGTTGCTGCCATCTCAGACACTGGGCAGCCAAGTTTGAGCTGAGCATCACCTGAACCATGTGTACACCACCTCCTAATGGAGTAGAGGTGGGCAAGTCTGGGGCAACCCACCGTCTCCACTCAGTACAGCCCCTTCTTCCTTCCTCTCTCCCCACACACCAGCCAGCAGGCCAGGCCACACATTCCTGTACCATGGTGTCTTGGTAACCTTATGGATACCAGGCAATGCTTCTCCTCCCAGATCAGGGCTCCATCCAGTCCTGCCTCACATTAACACCAAGTGCTACCACAACATCCAAAGGTCTAACCCCTTTTCCAGGGCTAATCACAGAATGGTTTGGGTTGTAAGGACCTTAAAGATCATCTAATTCCAATCCCCATCAAACTGGGTGCATGATGACACAATGACCATACAGCAGCTTCTCTCCTACCTTTCTTCTCAAGAAGATGCCAAAGCCCAGACTGAATCCCTCAAGAAGAGGACCTTTGGTGTGCTGCTTACAGCCACGTGGGCCTGTGGTTTTGCCCCTGGCACCAAGGAGCTTGCTCAGGAAAACCACCCAGCAAAAACCATGCCAGCTAACAGGCAGCAGGACAAGTCACAATGGGTCCAGTGGAAACAGCAGAGCCCCTCCTTGCCACCCCAGGTGTGCCTACAGATGAAGGATGCAAAGGAGGAGAGGGAAAAGGAAAGGCCCTGCCCAGGTTCTGGTCCCTTGGTTACACCTCCTGATCCTATAAAGCACTGGCTGTGGGTCATTCCCCATGGGAGATCTGAGGGTACAGCACCAGACCCTTCCTAGGAATACCACAATACTATAAGCATCCTTCCCTAGGCCCCAAGACTCAGTCCCCACACATTTAAATAAAATCCACCCCTTCCAGGCTGCCTGCCTGATTTACAGACACAACCTAGACCAGCATCCAAAACCAAATAAGCTCAGAGGAGGCAGGAGAGCTCCAGCAGGGATTTGTTTGGCTGGGACAGTAATTCATATATCCCCCAGAAGATTGCTGCCTGCAGCTCCACCTGCTCACATGACAAGCAGGGCACTCCTTGCCATGCTTCAGGAGTGTCCTCCTCTGTCATGAACCAGCCCAGTGCAGGGGACAGAGCAGCTCTTGCCCCAGGGATGGAAGCTTTCCCATGCAGGGTGGAAAGGATCATGCTAGGAGGTGGCTGGGAGCTGAGCTTTACTTCACAGATCCAGGGAATGGCACTGATCTAAGGACACTACCCTTGCCATGGCACCCTCTCATCTGCAGATCTCAGGGCTGTCTGAGAGAGAGACTGGATTCATTAACTCTGTTGAACACACAGGAGGAAAATTAATGCACCGAGAAGCAAAATAACTTGCCCACATATATTTAATGCATTAGCAGCAGAGCCAAGGATATTAGCATCTGTTTAAGCCTTGGCACTCCTCTCTGGGTTTTCCAGTGACTTTGACCCTCTTGAGAGTATCAGGAAATTAAACCTGCATTTTGAAATGCTTGACTCCACCTTCTCCCTCCCCAGCACCCACCCTCCAGCAAGCAGGAAATCCATTTAATTGCTGCCAAAGCCACAGCAGCCCAGACCTGCCTGCACTACCAACAGCCCATCCTGGGGGCTGTTCCTGCCTGCATATTAGAAATAAATAACTGTCACAGCCACACAGGGAGCTAGGCAGCTTTCCAGGATGAGCTATACCTCTTTTTCAGCTCTGCAGGAGAGATGTTTGCTTCTTTGCTGCCATTTTTAGCTGTGTTTCCTAAAGAAACTGAGTGTATGCAACTGCAATGTCTTTCAGTCTCTCTCTAATAGCTTTTGAGCCTTTCTGGCAGTTGCAGCTCAGAGAGGCAGGAGCTGGGTCATCCCTGCAAGCTTTGTGAAGATAAGCAGTTTTGTAAAAGCAATTAATCTGCCAGGGCTGCTTTAAAGCCAAAGGCTGAGGGCTGGACACAACACAACCTTTATTAGACACCAGAGGATCCACCATAGCATGGTGCTTCCTTCCCTTTGGCCTCTGAGCATGGTGCCAACATAGGAATTGCACATCACAGCTAAGAGGAATGAGCAGTGCTGGACACAGAAAAAGCCTTGGTGGGCTAATTAGGGCAGGATCATTAGTGCTTTGTCAGCTACACTGCTGGGTGATGCAGGAGGAGATGGGCACCAACCGCAAGGGAAGGGGAACTAACCACCACACCAAGCCCAGCCCAGAGGGGGAAGGCAGGGAACCCAGAGGATAAAATAACCCAGGAATGTTCTGAGCTTCAGAATTAAATGAAGCACATTGTTAGACTTTGCTACTCAGGTTTCTCCTAATTCACAGAAATTAGGGTATTTTCAGCTGGAACGTGGGTTTCACAAGCTCTGAGACTGTAACCTCAGCCAGGAACAATTACACCCCCCCAGAGGCATTTCTGACTCCAGCCCAGCACAGGGTGACAGGGGAACAGCCACCTCGAGCTGTCACTGGGGCTGAGAAAGTCCCTTTCCCAGAGCAGGCTGGCAGACAGAGCTTGTCCTCCTGAGTGTGTGTCCATCTGGTCAGAAGGAAGGAGAGCACACAACTAATCCCAAAGGACTGCAGATCCAGACATCATCCATCATCCATGAAAAGCCAGCAATGCACATCTTTGTTGTGCCCTTCCCCAGGGTCTCTTGTGGGTGAGCTCCACCCCCCCCTCCCCAGAAGCTACTGCTTCCCTCCAGGCTCAGCATGGCCAGGGATTGGATCTGTGATCCACACGTTGTTCCCACAGTGGGTATGGAAAAGAGGGGCTTCCACAGGTACATCTAGTGGTAAACACTGGTGTTCATGAACAGAAAGGGAGCTGCAGAGATTAAGACGGCTCCTAGTCCTGCCTGCAAAACCACCTCCCTGACAAAACCTGTAGCTGGGCAAGTGTCCAGCAGCATCTCCACGCCTGGGCCAGGCTCAGGTCCTGCCAAAGGCTCATGTCCCACTCACCATGGCAATCTCAGGTGCCCAGGGCACACTCACAGCCCCGTGGGGACAGCCAGAGAGTGGCCAGGAGGGCAGGGAGCAAGGCTGGGGGTGCAGGGTTTGCAGAGAGCTGCCTGTCACATTGGTCTGCCAGCACTCTCACACTCTCTTCCAAGCATCCAAAGAGCTGTCGCCTTCCCCACGTGGCACGTTCTGCTGTCCCCAGCAAGGATTTAGCTGTACAATCCCTTTGCAACTCCCAGGAAGGCTGGCTTGGCCAGGGATTGTTGCCAAGACACCAGCCAGCTCACCCCTTGCACACCACGAACAGCTGCCCTGCAAAACAAATTGCAACAGACCCCAAGCAGCCATAGCACTGCTCATCCACAGCCAGTCCCTGCAGTCCCAGAGGGCTCTACCATCTGCTGCTATCCTTGGATTCCCAGACTGGTTTGGATTGGAAAGGACCTTCAATATCATCCAGTCCCAACCCCCCTGCATGAGCAGGGACACCTCCCACCAGACCAGGTTGCTCCAAGCACCATCCAACCTGCCCTTCAGCACTTCCAGGGATGGGGCAGTCACAGCTTCTCTGGGCAACTTGGGCCAGTGTCTCACCACCCTGTTTCTAATATCTCATCTAAATCTCCCCTCTTCCAGTTTAAAGCCACCCCCCCTCATCCCATCACTCCCTGACCTTCTAAAAAGTCCCTCCTCAGCTTTCCTGGAGCTCCTTCAGATACTGGAAGGTGCTATGAAAGTCTGCCTAGAGCCTTCTCCTCTCCAGGCTGAACAACCTCAACTCTCTCAAGAGAGAAAAGCATCAAAAAAAGATTGAAAAAGAACAAGAGTATGAGGAAAATCATTTCACTCTGTTGACCCTGAAGAAGGAAACTCCTGATAATGACCCTAAGGAAAATACCTCATGGCCAAGGGAAGGGTGTTCACTGAGCATATCTTAATATGCAGAAGAGTTGAATCATAGAATCACAGACTGGTTTGGGTCGGAAGAAACCTTCAAGATTATCCAGTTCCAACCCCCTGCATGGGCAGGGACACCTCCCACCAGACCAGGTTGTTCCAAGCCCCATCCAACCTGTCCTTGAACACTTCCAGGGATGGGGCAGCCACAGCTTCCATGGGAAGATACAAACTGTTAATGTCTTTAGACTTAAGCCCTAAGAACAGATAACAGAAGACAATGACTAATTAAGCCTACTGTGAACTCACCTCATTAATATACTAAAATATCCTCCCTCAGGCTGGAAGGCCCCCCCTACTCACAAAAGCCCCCACCCTCTGAGTATGCCTAGTGTAAAGTAGGAGCACTAAGAGTTTAAGTGGAAGCAAAGAACTAGTTAACCCACTATGTAGACAAATGACATCAGTATAGTTAAGAGATAAGGTAATTTTGCATTTTCTTGTGTATAAAACCCCCTATGTTACAGGTGCTGGCTTTGTGGATTTACCACCCAGCACCCCTTTTTGTGCAGAACTGGAACAAGGAAACACCTCAGCCCTGTGTGTGGGATGGATTATTGCACTGGGCACACTGACCCTGTTTTGGGACAACAGTTTGCTGAAGGAAAATAAGGGGAAAGGGAAAACCCTCACAAGGAGAGGTTCAGCTGGATAATAAATCACTTGTTGTCCTGCTTGTGTTTCCAGTCCTCCAACATCACAACAGTGAAGCATCAAAGCACCTCAACACGTGCAAAATGAACCTCTTCTGCAATTCTCCAGTGGCATCTTTGCTCTGCATCAGCATTTAGCCTGAAAAATAGCCTGGGCACCACTCAAATTGCAAGTGTCACCCCACTGATTTCAGATAGAGAGGGATCAATATGCTTCAAGGTATCAAGGGAAGGGGAAAGTAAATTATTGATCCAGTTCTCTAAACATCTTAAAACGGATTAAGAAAATCCTTGATAAAATCTATGCCTTTGGGTTGTTTGTTGTTTGGCTTTTTTTTCCCTGCTTGTTCACTTTAAAAATGTCCAACATGTACTTCCTGATTTTTTTCAAAGAATTTAGGTCTCAGTCACACACAGCAAGTCCTGGGGTCCTTTCTGGAAGTGGGAGAGCTTTGAACACAAAGCAGTTTTCCACTCCATGTTTACTGCATATTTCAGATTTAATAAGGGTGCTTACAAGTCCCCTCTTCATTCACTCAGTCCCACTCAAAATTGGTTTTAAGTGCAATCAGAAATGTCACTAATCACCTTTAATTTTCTGAAACCTGCAGGATCTCAACCTGCCTGCTTTGTTCAGCAGTTCAGGGGACTAGTAGACAAGAGACTAGATTTCAAGTGAGAGAAAAGAAGGCAAAAGTAGAGAAGAAGCCTTATCATCCACTCTGCTTGACAAAAAGGCACAAACACCCCTCCCAGTCTAGGGAGAAGACCCTTGTGAAGACCTCTAGGACAGAGAGGCTCCTAGATAATGAAGACCTGAGCACAGCAGGTCTCTTGGACATGTGCAGAGTGTTTAAAGGTGAATGAGGGTCTGTACCTGACTCCATTAGCTGCAGACAGTCCTGTGCTGGGACCCACAGCTTGAGGCAAAGCCCAGGTGCTCTGTGCATTGAGTCTGGGTGTTGACCTTGCTCCAGACAAAGTTGGTTTGTTATAGGGCACGAAGCCGACGCTGGAAGAACTTACTGACGCTGTCCTCCCGGAAACCTGATGAGTAGTGGAAGAGTTGGGGAAGTTTATCATGGAATGTCGGTAGCGTGTGGTGATAGGACCAGTCCCACTGTTCAACCAGCACTGCTGGCAGGAACAAGCCACCCCTGTGTGAAGGGATGCCAGGGAGGTTATCACTGGGTACGGGGTGTCCAAACGCCTCTGGACGCTGCGGCGGAACTTCGTGGTCTTGTTGATCTGGACTTGAGCAGCAAAGTCAACTTCATAGTTGTAGCCCAAGGGTCCAAGATCTACTTGCTGGTGACTCGTGGCATGGGCTTGCTCCAGAAACACACAGACCTTCATCTCATAAGGGGACCAACCCCTTTCATCATTCTGCCACTCCCAGACAATGCCATGCCCAGCAGCCGAGTCCCCGGGGAAGAGGTGCCTGCGAACAGCCCGCATGGTTCCTGTGCAGGGAGAGGGGGGAAATAAAATCATTTGGTGAGCAGAAAAGTGAGGAGGAACTGGTGTCAGGGACTCATTTCTGCTGTGTCTCCATCAGGGTGGATTTCCCCTTCCTCAACAGAGGCACTAACATAGGTTCTCCTGCCAAGAGGCTGGGTTTGCTCGCGAAGCTGATGGAAACGCAACACCCCCAAGATCCCTGTCCCTCTGCCAGATCTGATTGCAGGCTGGCAACAGGTTCAAAAGCTGCTCGGAGGAAGGGTGGGAAAAGGAGGGAAGGGGAGAGGATGCAGATATAGACACACCCGAGCACAAAGGCACAGCAATCACATATGCCCCCGTGACGTTACAAAGTAGATAAAAAAGAAAATAGAAATCAGGCCGAAGCACAAATCTGGCTAAAAAAACCCTCAACTCCCACAGCCTTGACAACAGGGTAACTATAGAGACATGACACTATGGAGAAGTGATTTGCAGGAGTGCTGGAGTTAAGGGGCCCACTTTGCTAAGCAAGGGTCTGGGCAACTTTGCTCTTGGGGGAGTGGGTGAAGTCCCACAAGGACTTTGGAGAGGGCAGAGATAGGACCAGCTTCTCCAGGTCCTGACTGCTGGGAAACAGGGCAAGGCTAGAGAGGAGATGATAATGAAGTAATTTGGAAACTGGAGGGAGAAGCTGTTCAGAGAAAGGAAGAGAAATTAAAGTGGACACACTGCTCTTGCAAGGCCACTCAACAGCAGGAGCTCCAAATCCCCAGGCTCTCCAGGGTGGCTTCACTCCTGGTTACTTTAGCTGTGTATTCAAAAAAAGAAAAAGCCCAATGAGAGCAAGGGAAAGCCACCCAACAGGACAGGAGCTCTGCAACCTCTGTAAAAACAGGTTCCTGCAGCAGGGTCAAAACTGCTGCTGGGAAGATCCTCAGCAGCACTTTGCATGGAGAAATAGGAGCAGGAAGTGCTGCAGGGTGAGCTAGTCTGGGGATGCCAGTGGGCAGGGGCCAACAGGGGAGCAGCAAATTGTTCTAACACAGAGGGAGTTCAGAGAAGAACAGCACCAAGAGGGAAAAAATAAAATTAAGCCTCCTAAGAGGTCATGAGAGTTGTGACCCTGAGCTCCAGGACCACAGATAAAAACACTGTTCATACCTAAAGCCTACGGGTAGGTGCCTCAGGATGTTGCTGGTGGCTCTGTTTTGGACATGCAGTCCAAGGAAGCTTTCTGCCCAACAAGAACATCCCAAGGAAGAGGGAAGAGCCCATGTGGGACCATACATTGCCCAAACCCAACTGCTACCCATGTTCAGGCTCTGGCTTGAGTGTCTCTGCCTGACACTGCTGTCCTCTCCACTCCATAGTATTGGGATATTATGGAAAGTACTGGGACTTGACTCCAACTGTAAGGGCACTAACTCTTTCCTCACTGCTGCAAGTTCTTCTCAAAGGCAGAACATGCCTGACTAAGAAGAGCAGGACTTATGTTTCTGTTGGGGAACTGAAGGCCCTGGGGACTGAAATGGCTTTGCTTCAGCCCAGGCAGGGGCTGGGCAGCCAGGAAAGGTCCAGCAGTCACTCCTAACTTTTGCTTCAGCAGCCAGAGCAGCACCAAGCATCCTGTGGGACTCTCCAGTGATACCATCCAACAGGTAACATCTCATTAGCACACCTAAAAAGCTTCAGCAGGCAGTGAAACACAACCTCACCCATAAGAGCTGGGGCTGAACCCCAGCAGTTCAACCACAAAGCCCAGGGATTCCTGTGGGACAAGACTTTCCCCTGGTAGAAGTCAAGGCAGAAGGTATCAGCAGAACCAACCCGACCTTCCCGAGTCAGGAATCAATATCTTGTGTGGGAAAGCAGATGAAACAGCCAAGAGCAAACTCCAGCAATGGCTGCTCCTATCCAGCAAGGAGGTTCTGCCAAATTGGAGAAGCATGTAACTTCTGGCCTCAACAGGTGGACAACAACAGGGATGAACCCCTGAGCAGAAGGAGGGCTGGGGATGAGACTGGGCTGGAAGTGAGATGGTGAGAAATGCACTGCTACGTTTAGAGAGGAGTGCAGGGAACCTGTTCCCAGGAGAAAGAGAACTACCATGGTTAAAACAAGGTGTCAGAAAGCATCACAGGACACATCTCAGAGGAGATCAGCAAGGCTGCCCCTGCTTTGTTGGCAAGTGAGCAGCTAAAAGCAGCATAGAGAGGCCTTGAGGAGTTTGCAAGCAACTTGTATTTTTAACATCTTGAAACAGCAGCAGGCAGAAGAGCTTTTAGGAGCCAGTCACAAGGCCACGCATTTGGAAAACAACCCCTAGGCTGGCAGGGAAACTGGCATTCCTCTCCAGGGTGGGCAAACAGCTGTGGTGAGAGGACAACTCCTGCTGCTCTCCTGCATTGACTCACAGCTAATCTGCCTCGACCAGCAGCTGAAGCCCAGGGCTAATCCTGCCCACCAGATCCCCCTGCACAGCTGCTGTTCCCTGGTGGTGGGGACACTGGTCCCGTTAACACTGGCTTCCTGTTATTCTGCCTGGCTTCCTTTGAAGAGCCTATTTGTCTGTCTACCAGCTAAAGAGCAGAATACAACAGCCTACTTTTTTTGCTCTGTTTCAAGATTTATTTTTTTCATGGAGATGTTTCCTGCAGAGATTCTCTCTCTCTCTCTCCAGCACATAACAAAGGTCAGCTGGCTGCTGCCTTAGTAGGGTTCAGGTTTAAGGCAGAGCCCTGCAGAGAGAAAAAGATTTGCTTAGAACTGGGCCACTGAATGGGGATATGAGAATGTTTGGAATAGTCACATGGCAGAGCACACAGGTATCTGTGGAAGGAGACTCACAGACCTGGCCATTTGATCAGCATCCCTCCAAACTGGTGGGGAATGCTGCAGGGGAGCCAGGAAGTGGAATCGGCCTTTTTGTCAACCACAGATCTCATCCAAGGAAAGATGAGATCACATCAGGCAACAACAATTCTAAAATTATATTGGGCTGTCCCTTAGAGATGACAGACTCCAAACCACTCTGTGATGGACAATACTTGCTAGGTGTTTCATGAAGGTCTAAAGAGATACAAGACCTTTGTAGAGGGATAAGTCCACAGGAGAGGGATGTCCCTGCTGTGCAGAAGCCATCAGCACCATTTACTAAGAAGCCAAGGAGTGTGACAGGAGAGCAGAGATGTGACACACAAAGACACTCTGCTCACCCTCACCAAACTGGGACATTTCCTGACATGGGACAGCCCAGGACTGCTACTCAAGTGTTGGGTACTGGCTGAAAGGACAAGAGGCTGGAAGGTTCCTTCTCAAGTTTGACATGAAGAAAACAAGAAAGAAGCAGCCACTGGAGCCACCTCTGGTGGTCCACGCTGTATTGCTTGAAGCCAAGCCTCAGGAGGGCTTCGAAGTGCTCAAACAGCCCATGATGAGCAGATCTGCCAAGGCATCCAGCTAAGAAAGCTCCTCACCCAGGATGCCACTAGAGAAACTAATCCTGAGGTCAACAAGTCAGAATAAAAACACAGATGCAGCTGTGACGACCACTTGGCTTTGCTACAACCACTTCCCTTTCCTGTAGAAACTGCCTGATAGTGCAGCTAATTCAAGATATTGCTCACTTGTTGCTTCAACTGGCAAGAAACCAGCACGCTGCCCATCTCTAAAGCATGGGGTCATGCTTGACTGCATCCTGGGGTGATGGGAAAAATGTTAGCAAGGGGGAAACTGATGCACAAAGAATGTTCCAAAGCAGCCATTCATTCAGGGTGTGTAATTTGGGATCTCCCTGGATTTTCCAGAGATGAGGAGCATGCATTCCACCCCTGCTCCCTTCCTAAGCTACAGCTGCTCAGCACATCTGGAGTAAAAGAGGGTAGGAGTTGTCTCAGTAGATTCTGAGCTGCTAGCCTCAGTGACCCGAAGAGAGACGAGATGGGAAATCAAAATCAGGTCTCAATCCTGCTATTAAGCCCAGCCTACCTCTTCCTCCCTGGGAGGAAGCAAGCCAGCCTGGCAGAGCACAAGTGTGGGGAAGGTGGTGCTGCAGCACCACGGCGGCGTGCGGGGGCTGCAGGCTCCGGCGAAGCAGCTTGCACAGGGCAGTGTGCCAAGGGAAAGCAGCTGGCACTCCAGCTCCATAGGGAACAAGGGAGGCAAACGGGCCTTTTTATGTGAGTGGTCTTGAATGGATGTGGGTGGGGGCAGGAAGAAAGTCTGCAGCTCCTCTGAGGGCATTGGCTCATGAGATCTGAGCCCCACAGGTCCTGTCAGGAGGCTCCTTAGGAGATCAACCTGGCAGGTCCACACCAGCCAACCCAGAATTCCTCATATGCCAACAGCTGAGCAGCAGACAGCACCAGGAGAGAAGATATGGGTCTGTTTAGCTTAGAGAAAAGGAGGCTGAGGAGGGAACTCATCAATGTTTATAAATATCTACAGGGGGCATCAGGAGGATGTGGCCAGACTCTTCTCAGTGGTGCCAAGTGACAGAACAAGGGACAATGGGCACAAACTGGAGCACAGAAATATAAGAAAAAAACTTCTTTACTCTGAGGGTAACAGAGCCCTGGGACAGGCTGCCCAGGGAGGTTGTGGAGTCTCCATCCCTGGAGACATTCCAAACCCACCTAGACATGTTCCTGTGGGATCTGCTCTAGGGGATCCTGCTCTGGCAGGGGGGTTGGACTATGTGATCTCCAGAGGTCCCTTCCAACCCTGACCATCCTATGATTCTGTAACAGACCATCCATCAAAGACCTGCCCAGCAGAGCTTTGTAGGGCTCTCCTGTGCAGCACAAGGTCCCTCTTATCCCCAAGCACCTCATCAAAAGCCCAGTACGGGCAGGGAAGCTCCCTTACCTGTGTCCTGCCGGAACTGCGTCCAGGTTTGGATGTCGATGACGTAGGGGGCCAAGACAGGATCTGCATGTCCTAAAGGGATGCTGCTGACAGGCCTCGATCCTGAAGGCCTGCCCTTCTGCTGAGAGGCCTGAAAAACCTGCTCAATGTAGCTGCAGACGTTCCCTCGGTAGGGCCTCCACTTGCCAAATTCATCCTGCCATTCCCACACCGCCACCGCTGTGGAGTTGCTGCTGTGCCCTGGGGCTGAGCTGGGTCCGGATGGTCCAGCTGAGCTGCTTCCTGCTCCCTGAGCTGCTGCCATGTTCCTCTCTCCCTGAGGTTTGGGCACGCCAGGACTGGAAGTGGCAGCTGCACTTGGCCTTACACCATCTTCTTCTGCAGGACCTGCAGCAAGAAACAGAGCGCACGGAGCTGAGGATGATGCCCCAAATCCACCCTGCCCTGCATCTGAACCACACGGGCTGGTTAAGAGAGGGAAACAAGCTCAGCCTTTCACAGATGATGCTCACAATGCATTTAGATCACAGAGAAGTGGATTGGCCTCAAAACCCTCTGGTCAGGGGCAAATGAGGTGCCACTGCCCACTCCTGGCAATGTTAGCAACTTTTCTTGCTAATTTAGAGCAAAAAGTCTTTAGAGAATCTCAGCTTCTTATGATTTGCAGTCCCAGACATGACCAGTCACTGCAGACAAAACCACTCTAGAGCTGCTGTTGTTTTGCACTGGGCACATTCATAAGCCCTGACCAAAGCTCAGATGCTCAGGAGTGTGCCAAGGCTTGAAACAAGGAACCATCTGCATCAAGAAAGCCTGGAGCCAGAGCCTCAAACCATTAAAAGATTATTTGGGAGAGAACAGGGTAGGAGCCTCAAGACATCCAGATAAAGACACAAAGGGCAGTGAGTAAATCCTAATGACACACAGAGAAGGGACAGGGAGCAGAGACAAAACATCATCATCACTCCCCCCCATCACAGCCCCCAAGGGATGTAAAAAAGCAGGCCCAAAGCCATCACGTGGTCACCAAGCTGTCCAAGAGACACCAAAGGTCTGATATTTGACATTCCTTGTCTGCTGTGTCATTGCAAGGACTGATGCCCAGGCCATCTGGACACATGTCTCAATGCCCAAATGCCAGACAGACCACTGGAGATCTCACCTCATGAGCAGGTGGGTATGACTGCAAATGAGCAAAACTCATTTTGTTTTAAAATAAATTCACCTTCCCCCTCCTAAGGTCTCACATTATCCATCACTTGCTTAACTACCAGCAGAGAGCTACGAGCTTCTTGCTCATCTAATGGAAAAGTTCAGGTCTCCCAAGAGGCAGAGCAGCAGTGGGTGGCTCCCACTGGAAGATGCCATCTGCATGGAGAATGACATCCCTGCTGCTGGATAGGGGAAGATCCCACGCTCCATGGAGCATCCCATCCATCATGCTGGTGTGGTTTGCTGGCTTAAAAAAGAAATGGGAAGAGAGCGAGCGAAGAACAGACACACCCACACGTCTGCATTTTTTAAGAGGAAAGCAACACCTTCTCCAGGAACTCAGTGTAAATGAGCTCATGAGCTCCTCTGAGATTTTTTACAGAACACCCCCAGATTGCCTGGTGTTGGTGACAAACTGCTCCAGATCACCAACAGAAGACCCTGATCTCTGCAACTGATCTTGAGATGTAATGCACCCTCCTCTAATGCATCAAGGGCAGTTAAATTTTACTGCTCAAACCAGCAAATCCAAACTTGAGGTACTAAACCAAACACCTGCCTCTGTCAGTTCATTTTATGACAGGTTTCACATCAACTCACTTCCTTCTCATGGACCACCAGCATGTCCACCAGTGAGTCAAATCCCCCATGAAGCCATGCACCTGCAGCAGGTTCTCTGAGCTCCAAACAGAGAGCAAACACCTTTCCCCCCCAAAAAAATTGTTGTTACCAAACATTCATCTGCACATCCTACTGCCCCAAGCAGAGCAGGAGAGCAAAGGGAGGCTGCCACTGATTTCTTTTCCTTCCTTTTTGAAACACAGCAGCAGGAAATGGAAAAAAGAAGGTGTCCCAGCAGAAGAGCACCCAATGCCACCTCTGTCATGTACCACTTTCCTCTCTCTGTGACACTGCCCTGGTGACAAAAGTCTCCTGCTCACCTCCTTGGATGGCAGTGAGGGTTGAACCCTGGACCACAGGTAAGTAAAGTTGCCCAGACCAGCTGCATGTGAGCAACATATGCTCCGACAGTTGCTCCTCCATCAAAATGGGAAAATATTTCCTGCCTGCACTGGGACTGCAGGTCCAGAGGAAAAGCAAGGGGTGTATTTCAGCCTCCTGCCAGTTCTCCCTGCTGGAGCCAGCAGCTGTTTGCATGGATTGGGAAGTGAGGAATGCGGGAGAGCTTCAGGAAGCCAAAATGACACCAGTCCCTGAATGAAGGCAAACAAGAGAAAGGAAAGTCCTGAATTTGCAGTTCCTTTCCCCTCTCCACCATTTCAGCAGCACACAAATATTAAAAGCTGAGAAACTCTGTGCAAGAGCTGCTTGTAGAGTTCTCAGTCCACCCCCTGGAGTTGCTGGGTGTGTTGCACTGAGGCAAAAAGGATTTGGGGCAGGATGAGCTGTATGGAGAGGGCTGGCTGTGGCTCAGGGGGTCACTGCACATCCCACTTCACCAGCACCAAGTTTGGGGTGTGAGCAGCAGCTCTTCAGCTGCACCAGCTCCTGGCTCTGTCCTGGTCAGACTTACAGCCCAGAGAGAGCAGCTACACATCTTTGCTAAAATCCCACTTCACCTTGAGCTTGAAAAGTGCCTTGAAAAGCTAAAAGTCACGCCAAGCCCTAAAAGCTGTGTTTATTCAGTCCTAACTCCAGTTAGAAATCCTGTGGGCACCTTGCCCCAAAGGAAAACAAAATCTAACTACTTGAAGTGCAAACTCTATCCAACTGCCCTCCTCTTAGGAGGTAACTCAGGCTCAGATCTTGAATTGGGATTTGTTTGTCTGGATCTTCACACCCCAGCACAACCTCTGAAGCGTTTGCCCACATGCCTTTAATTAGAGACTTGGACAGGAAAAGAACTGGGTGTATTTCACAGTTGTGCTTCCTAACAGATTCACTCCCTGCTCCTCGAGCTCCAGTAAATGGTGGTGAGAAAGCTGGGGAGGGGCAGATGGGAATTTAAGCATTTGAAAGACATGTTTATTTCTCAAACCTGTTCTACTTCCAGAAAGCAGAGTTTTCTTTCGCTTAAAATGCAGGATCTTAAAATTCATGGGTCTGAGATTAGTTCTAAAAATGCCAAATCCCTTTGTAAGTTTCTGAACTGAAATTGCCAGCATGGATAAAGGTTTAAATGGTATGCTAGCTTGTATCTGGAAAGGAAAAAGGCCAAGAAGCCCTTGAGCTGGCCTGCATGAAAATAAATAAATAAATAAACTCCCACCAGATTGGTAAAAGGGAGATTTTTCAGCAGGTGGCTCAGAAAAGAGGGTGCCCAGGAGGGATTTTTGAAGCACCACTAACACTGCACGAGAGATGGGACTGGAAGTGCTGCAAAGAGCCCACGGGAAAAGATGAGAGAGGGATTAGAAGAGCACACAAAGCACAGGGAGGCAGCAGGGCTGTGCTGAGCCCACAACCCTGGGCAGTGTCACAGGTGCCCTGTGCCATCCTGACCCCAAACCACCCCACCAGGGCCCTCCCCACCAGCTGACCTGCACTTCTGACCAGGAGATAACTCACATCTAAGCATGTTTTTCACTACAAGAGCACCCAGCACTGATGAGCATGCAGCTGGCAGCAACCCTGGGCTAAGAACAGAGCAAGGAGAGTGAATTAATACATCCAGCCAAGCAGATCCATCTGCCCTTGACACAACCCTGCCTTCTTCCAGCCACTACTTATGGTCACAGAGCAAGGTGGCTGGGTTGACAGCCAAAACAACAGGAAAAATAAAACTCCAGTGCTCCAAACCTGAACTCCTCAAAACAAGCTTCAAGAGAGTACCCTTTGGAGGAGAAAATACAGATGGCAACTGAGGCAGAACAAAGCATTTGCCTGGGCAGGGGGTTTATTCCAGGCATGAACGAAGAGGAAAGCTGAGGCAGGGAGGAGAGAGCAGATCCACCTGGATACAGGATGCCACCGAACCCAACTCTCTCCAGAGCCCTTCTGGGCACCGAAGAAGACCACTGACTTGTGGGAAAACCATTTACAGGTGGGAGTGCAACCCTGGCAAGACCTGGCGGGTTCCCTCAGCTCCCGGAAAGCCCCGAGCAGCACCGGGTGGGACGTTCCTGCTTTCAGCCGGACTGCCCGGGAGGGCAAAGGCGAGTCCTCCGAAGGAGCTGGTGCCTCAGGGCCGGCCCGGCCCCCCGATGCTGAGTTCCAGACATTGGCAGGGGAGGTGAGATCCCAGAGATGGTTCCACCAAAGAGCAGGACGTGCAGGATCATGGGCAGCATTCCCAGCCCTGCCAGCGTTTTCCTTGGAGCATTCCTATGCATTCCTCCAGGATGTGGGAGGGAGGCTTGGGGGTGAGGGACACCAGCCCCTCTGGAGCCTTCTCAGTGTCCCCATCACCATCCCTGGATTGGGTTTGGTTTGCTTTTGACTCGTCGTCCTCTAGGGAGATCACCCAGGCTTTGGGGTCAGCTGGGGCTTGGGTAGGGCTGGATGAGCTGGTACCTGGGAAAAGCCTGGCAGCAGCACATCTCTAGGTTTCCTTGTTTGGGGGGTGAGATCTTCCAGCCCTGTTTTGCTTTTCCAAGCACAGCAAGAGCTGTTGGTGACACCAGCCTACCCTGGGAAGGAGGAGAAGGGCTGGAGCAGCGTAGGTACGAGTTGCATCCCTGCTGGGCTGGGACTCGAGGCACCTCCTGACCTTCTCCTTCCCTTGGCAGGGCTGGAGTACAGTGAAGTGCTGCCCGACTCCTTCCCCTCAGCCCCAGCAGAGACCCTCCCTCACTTCCTGCTGGAGCCACAGGATGCCTACATCGTGAAGAACAAGCCCGTGGAGCTCGTCTGCCGCGCAGCCCCCGCCGGAGCTGCCTACGGGCTGTGGTTTCCCCCGCCAGCGGGGTCTCCTCCTGACACCCCTTCTGCGATATTTCGGGTCCGGGAGATAGAAGTTGCCCCTTTGTGGAGGAACACCAGGCGTACACACACCCCCCGGTGTCACTGCCTCTGTCCCCGAGGCTCAGCAGAGCCCATGACATCAGCATCTCATTAGAGATGCAGCCCCTAACGAAGCTTAACGACTGCACGTGTCCGTGGGGGCTGCTATTTGGAAGTGGCTCCGAGGGGGCTGGAACCCCCCCAGACCAAGATTCAACTGAGGACTGACCAGTTGCTCAACTCCTCGAGGAGAGTTGTTCTTGGTTTCATTTACACTCATGCAAATCAGCAACAAACCCCCTGGGATTCCTGCCCTGCCCCTTGTTTGAGCACAGGGTGAGTGAGGACTGTGAAACACTGTGTGTGCCACAGATACCTCCAGCAGCACAGCCCTGCTTCCTGCCAGCTGCTTGCTTCACCCTGGTCAGACCCCTTGTGTGTGTATTTAAAGATGAAATGATGCAGTTAAACATGAACCCTAGAGCACCTCGAGGGGAGGCAAATTCCTTCTTAACACTGGGTTAGAGGTAGGTCAGACCCCACCCAGGGTTTTTTCCCCTTGCTGGGTGCTCAGCAGCTACAGAACAAACCATCACCAAGGCATTTCAGAAGCAGGAAACATTCACCAGTCCTTATAAAACCATTTTCATCTTCCCTGGACTTTACACCCTCCAGAAATGATTCACCCATAATCTGCTGTGATACACCTGCTCCAGAAGGGCTTCTAAAAACCAAAGTACATTATTCTTAGACTCCATAATGAAAGAAAAAATAATAATAATACCCTGTAGAACCAGGTTACACTGTAGGCAGGGAGGGATATTTTAAAACTCTGCTTCCTGGGTTAAATTCAGGAGACTCACCTTTCCTGGGCTTATAGAGGGTTGATTTTCTGCTTCCAGAAAATGTACAGGGCTGAGCATGTAACCATTGCAGCTGCAACAAAACTCCCCCAGAGCTCAGTGTCCCTGCAGCTCAGCCATGTATGCAAATGCCCATGGATTTCTCTTCCAGGATGGATGAGGTTGTCACGTATTTGAATTCAAAATACTCACCAAGTACTAATAATTGCCAAAGGTGATTGATAGCCTGCTTGTAATGTGTCTGTTCAAGCAATAAACTTCACATTTACAACTCAGGTGCTTGGAATTCCTGTCTCCTGCAGCTGGAATAAGGAACTGAAGAGCAATGTGAAGATTTTTTTTCCCTTTCTACCCAAGCCTGAAGAAGAGATGGGCAGGCTTCATAAAGCCCTGCTGGGAGCAGATTCTGATCTGTGTGGTTGCAGAGTTTGAAGGGCATTAAATACCCCCTGATCCTAACTAGGGGGAAAAAAAAATGTGGATGGGGAAAAAGAGATTGTATTGAGCCTGGCAGAGCTCCATGGCATGGCTGGAGGAGATGCTGTGGGTGAGGAGCAAGGAGTCCTGGCTGATGAGGGGAGCTGGGCAAGGGGTTTAGGTGATGCTCCAGGGTCTGAAGAGGGTTCTAGATCAGGGCTGAGGGGCTCCAGGGCTGCTTCCCTAGGAGAAAGGAAGGGCTGTGCCAGGATAAACCATCCAGGTGGTGGCTGAGCTGTGGGAAGAGCATAGAATTACATTGGCTGAGGTATTGGATTATTGTTATTGTTGCTATTATCATTATCCTTATTATTTGTTTTGGAGCATGGACTCCTGAGCAGACCTGGCAGGACATCTTGCACCAGGGTACACAGCAGGCTCTGCAAGGTAGAGCAGACACCTGAGGTGTCTCACCTCAGCACTACCAGCCCTTGGCTGCCCCTCGGCCACCCTTTCCTCAGCCTCTCCCTCCCCTCTCCAAGCCCCAGCTGCATGCCACGCTGGTCCCACAGCCTGGAATGAGTTACCAGAGCCAAGCAGACCCCTGAGGTTCCTCCCCTCAGCACTACCAGCCCTTGGCTGCCCCTCAGCCTCTCCCTCCCCTCTCCAAGCCCCAGCTGCATGCCACGCTGGTCCCACAGCCTGGAATGAGTTACCAGAGCCAAGGCACCATGTCCAGCAAGAATCCTGAGCCTGGGGAGCAGCTGAGCCGGCCAGACCCTGCTGCACAAACCCCTTGGGCTGCTCTGTGTGAGGGCGCTGCGAAGATGCTCCTGGAGCTGAAAAGGTGAAGCTCCAGGTGAGCCAAGGAGCTCTGGGCTCTCTGCTCATCTCTCCACACTCACCACCCTTCCCTCCGTAATCAGTGCTAATTACAGACACCCCTCTGCCTGCCCTGCCCTCCTCCCGCTTTGCTCGTGGCCTCGACCCCTGGGATAGACCCCCAGGTCATAGAATCATAGAATCATAGAATCATAGAATCATAGGGAGACTCCACAACCTCCCTGGGCAGCCTGTTCCAGTGCTCTGTCACTCTCACAGTATAAAATTTTTTTCGGATATTCACCTTGAACCTCCTGTGCTCCAATTTACACCCATTACACTTTGTCCTATCACTGATCATCACTGAGAAAAGCCTAACTCTGTCCCCCTGACACTCACCCCTTACATATTTGTAAACACTGATGAGGTCACCCCTCAGTCTCCTTTTCTCCAAGCTAAAGAGACCCAGCTCCCTCAGCCTTTCCTCATAAGGGAGATGTTCCACTCCCTTCAGCATCTTCGTAGCTCTGCGCTGGACTCTTCCCAGCAGTTCCCTGTCCTTCTTGAACTGAGGGGCCCAGAACTGGACATGATATTCCAGATGTGGCCTCACCAATGCAGAATAGAGGGGGAGGAGAACCTCTCTTGACCGACTAACCACCCCCTTTCTAATGCACCCCAGGATGCCATTGGCCTTCTTGGCCACAAGGGCCAAGGTCCCCGGGGCTGGAGCCACGGGGGCTCCGCTCTCCTCCCGAGCCCTTTCCGAGCTCCCTCAAGCCTTTCTCCCTGAAGATGCGTTGCCACCTAGTGCACACTCAGCTGTGTCCCAGCCGCTCCAGCCCTCCGGAGCTTTTCTGCATCAGCCTGGGCCAGATGGACCTTTAAAGGTCCCTTCCAACCCCAATCATTCTCTGATTTTCAGCTCCAGGCTTGGACACAACCATCTCCATCCTGCACGGGTTCCTACACAGCAATGTCTGTCTCCTCCCCCTGCCTGTCCCCACGCAGGTCACACTGCATCTCAGTCACTTCAGCTCAGTTTGAGTTCCCTGGGGCTTTATTTATCCAGGGAGACCTTAGAGCACCTCCTTGTACCTGAAGGGGCTGCAGGAAAGCTGGGGAGGGGCTTTTGAGAAGGGCAAGGAGGGATGGGAGGAGGGGGAATGGCTTTATACTGGAAGAGGGGGGATTCAGGTGAGACATGAGGAAGAAATTCTGGGCTGTGAGGGTGGGGAGACCCTGGCCCAGGTTGCCCAGGGAAGCTGTGGCTGCCCCATCCCTGGCAGTGTTGAAGGGCAAGTTGGATGGGGCTTGGAGCAACCTGGGCTGGGGGGAGGTGTCCCTGCCCATGCAGGGGGGTGGAACTGGATGATCTTGAAGGTCCCTCCCAGCCCCAACCAGTCTGGGATTCCATGATGCTATTTCAAGCCCTTAAGCTGTGGCTGCAGCAGCCCCTCCAGCACCAGCAGAGCTTCAGCAGAAGAGCTGCCTGCATTCCCCAGGGCTGGCAAAGGAGTCCCCACCAGCTGCTCATCCTGACCCACAGCTCATACACAAGAGGCTGTTTCCCCACGGGATCCCACTGCCAGGAGCCCAGGCTGGGCTGAGGCTGCACCCCAGGAGAGGGGACCCAGAAAAGGGAGTCACAGCCTTTGTGACCACCCGAGGGGGCTCAGTGCCCTGTTCTCCATCCCCTTTCCCCCCCCCCTAAGGACCACAGCTACTCTTCTGCAGCTCTGGATGCTACCAGAGCCAGTGGTCCAGGCCAGCTGACCTCTGCAGATCCTCCTGTCAGCACCACGTCCTTGGGCTGCTCTTTCTCACCTGGTTTCTGCAGCACCTGGTTGGTCAGGAAATGGATTACGGGGAGGAACAAAGGGTATTTTGTCTGGGGAGGGGGTGGGTGCTGCAGCTGCTCTTTCCGCAGCCCTGCCCTTCCTTTGGAGCTTCCCAGCTGCCAGAAAATACCTTAAAATTAGTGCTTGGGTCACCAAGTAGCACAGAGGTGTGGTGAGACCCCAGCTGCAGCAGGAGAGGGGAAATGAAATGGTCTCTCACCATTCTGATGCCTTTCCCTCCCTTTCCCTCCTCCTACAGCTGCTGGATGCTGGTTGGTTTGGGGTGTGAGAGCTTCTTGCCTTGGATTCCACCTTGTCAGGTCCCACCTGGGAGCCCCACAGCAGCAGGAGGAGCAGAGGGAGGCATGGAAGGAGGGCAGACTCCATCCCAGGTATCCTCGATGCCAGGTCTCCCTGAAGCACAGGTGGCAGTGGGAAGGAAACCAGTAAATACCTGGTGATGGAGCTCAGCAGTCAGCAGGGGAAACCTGGCCTGCATTTTAAGCTGGCTGCTGGTTTGCAGCAGCAACTGGTGTCGAGGAACAGCTCAGTTCTTCCCTCCTGCCAGTAAAAAGATGCCTTTTGTTTCAGCTTGTGGCTTTTTGAGATCACACCAGGCCCTTCTTCTAAATTGCCAACATCTTTCCTGGCAATGGGAAATGGCAATTTCCTGCCATAACAGGTACACACAAGTTTCTCTCTCCTCCCTGTAATTTCCCAGCTCATTGAGAAAGGAAGCTTATTTTTAATTTTATTTGTAACATTTTTCTTCTCCCCCTGCAGGTTTCTGAACCACTGGCTCCCCCCAGTTCCCACCCAGGGCTGAGATTGACTGGGAGCTGCTGGAGGTGCCCCCCACCCAAGGAAGCTGCTCATGGCACTGTCAGTGGACACAGGCATGACCTTACTCAGCCCTGACCCCCCCAGACCCACTCACCCACCAGCATCAATGATGTCCCTGAGGGACCAGGCAGCAGGACCATAGAGAAGGACAAAAAGAGCTTCTCTTTTTGTATTATTTTTTTTCTTCCTGGCGAAGAAAAGAACAGCCCTGTGGAATTTTATAATTAGCCTTTCTTATGTTGTGGCTGCTCCTTG